CCTTATCCCAAACCTGGAATAACTGTTACACAGACTCCTTATCCCAAGCCTGGAATAACTGTTACACACCGACTCCTTATCCCAAACCTGGAATATCTGTTACACAGATTCCTTATCCCAAACCTGGAATAAGTGTTACATACTAACTCCTTATCCCGACCCCGAAATAACCATTAAACACCTTTTTCAAGGGCACAATTAAGTTAAATACACAAAACTGGGGTAAGGAACTGGTGACTGGGACTTGCCCTGTGACTGTCCCCCTTTTTCTCCCCGCAGCCATCCCTGAACTACCACAGCAGTGCAATTTTGGCAGCAGCACTCGACACCCTCACGGTTCCCTACCGGCTCTGGTCGTCCCAGGGCTCCATGGTGCACTTTGCTGACTCCCTCACCTTCTCTGGGAGGAAGGTGAGGACACCAAAACCAGCCACCCCTGATCCCTCCAGCCCTGCTGCGGGCAGGGGATGCTGTTCTGCACTTCCAGGAGTGTGTTCCAGGCTGTTTTCCTCACCCTGATCCAGGTTGTGGCTGCGTGGGCATCTCTCCCCTTCCCTGCCTTTCCCGGCTCCTCGCTCCCAGAGATTTTAAGTGCCCACCAGCAGGACATGCCCTGGAAGCTCCTCCTGCCCTCCTGGAGGGAGCAAAAGGTCAGCTGCTGTTTTGCTCAGTCTGTTGTGCTCCGAGGAGTTTGCAAAGAAAGGCCCAGCAGGTAAATCAGCCTCTGAACTGCACCTCTGCCCCTGGAACTGCGGCTCTGCCAGCGGTGATTCCTCCCGGGAGTCATCCCAAACCCCTCCCTTCGGATGGAGGAGCAGTCTAGTGACTGAGCCAGTTCAATTTTAGAGCAAAACCAGCTAAAAAGCAGCTGAGTCAGTGGTGTTTTCAGCCTGGAAAGCCCTGATTTGGTTTCCTTTGCAGCAGCTCCCTGGGACAGCAGCCCCGGATGCCCCTGCAGGGCTGTGAGAGCCCCGAGGAGATGCTCCAGCTCTACCTCCACACCCACTTCCCAGGCTCCTTCAGGTGGGTGCAGGCAGGGAGGGGTTGGTTTAGACCAGGGAACAGTTTTGAGGGCATTTTGGGGTAACTTTATTCCCCTGTTCCCCCCCAGCACAGCCCACGTGCTCCAGCAGCCCTGCGACACCCGACCTCCCTTCCCCCAGTTCTTCTCTCCTCTCCTGACCAGACAAGGCTTCCTCCAGGACAAAGCTCTGGGTCACTCCTCGGCAGGGCCCAGCAGAGGTAAAAAAACCCCACTAAAACACCACCAAACCAACCCCACCCTGGAGGGTTTCCAGGGCACGAGTTCCGAGTGTCGAGCGGCTCTTTGTGCCGAGGTGAAGGGGAAAGGGGCCAGGCCCCGGATTTTGGGGGCTGTTTAACCCCAGCTGTTGGTGTGACCCCCCAGGTGTGCAGAGCATCCCCGTGCTGGCAGCCCTGCAGGCCTCCCCTGTCCTGCACCAGCTGCTCTTGGGCCTCTGGCAGGACCTGCGGGCGCGGAACATGCGGCGCTGGAGCAGCTTCTTCACGGCCGGGGTGGAACAGGACGACTTCCAGCAGGCCCTGGAGGAGCTCAAGACTCTGTCCCAGTGCTATGAAACGGGCTTTGGGGGGGATGGCTCCGAGGATGAGGCGGATTCAGACTGACCCACCTTTATTCCCAGGGATAGAGGGAGTGGGAGCCTCTTTAAGACACTTTGGGAATAACGGGAATGGCTCTGGGGATGATCCAGCTGCTGCTTCCTTCTCATTTCACCAAAATCCCCTTACAAAGGCTGGCTTGAATTCTCCAGCTACTCACAGCTGTGCTGTAGAGGAGAAAAACTGCTTTTGGGGGGCTATTTTTGTATGTTTGGGGTTGTTTGTTTGTTTGTTTGTTTTTTATAACTGTGCAAAGTGGATTTG